CAATGGACTTACCTCCTTTTTTTATCTTCCAGGACTGGGAGCCCGTTTCTTTCCCCGCGCCTGTATTTGTCTCCATCTCAGGTGAGCACTTAGATTTTGTGTACTGTTCCTAACCTTTTTTATTCTTCCAGCTCGCCCTCGCCTTAAGCACCGGTATACCGCCGTGAATCCTCCCGCGATTAATAGGTCGTCCGACCTTTCGCCCGGGCTCGAGTTCACGTTTAGACGCCTCGAGCGACTCCTCCCGCCTTCGATCTGACTCTCGGCCGGGTGACTCCCCCATGCAGTGGCTCGGACGCGAGGCTCATCCGACACCTCGCCCGGCAGACCACACATGGGCGGCATCCGCCATCAGTTCCGACGTTCGTCCCCGCTCTTGGCTCGTCTGCTGTGGCCAGAACGTGGTCCTTGGATCCCTCGTACACTCATCATGGACCCCCCAGACTTCGACCGGACGCGTTCCTGTATCCTGGTATCTTTGTGTGGTTTTCTTTCACTTCTCATTTTTTCTTTCACTTACTAATCTCTTCCATTTTTTTGTAGGTATCGTTTTTTTCCCTCGCGGATTTTCTTTCCGATGCAGTTCTTTTTTTTTGTTTTTATTATTACGGGATTTTATTTATCGAATCTTCCCTATTAGAGACTTACGACAAGTATAAAAATTTTAGCCTAATATATTTATTTAATTAGTTACACTTAATTACTTAGAGTACGTCCCTAGCTAAGTATTATTGCTGGGTGGGAAGGTCTCTTCACCGGAGTCGTGTATGGCTAGTGTGCCAAGTTAAACACTGCGCAAGTCTATTAGGATGGGCTTGAAGCTTGGCCTGGGACTTTGCTTTCACTTTGGCAATTTCATCTTTAACTGATCCTACATTTAAGTCTTTATGTATATTTTCATTCCGTATGTACCATGGTACCCCAGTGATCGTTCTTAGTATCTTCGATTGAGCTCTCTGGATTATTTCTAAATTACTAACGCAAGCATTTCCCCATAGCTCGGAGCCGTATGTCCAGATGGGTTTGAGAACTGCATTGTACAAAAGTACTTTGTACTCCAGTTTTAGTGGTGAACGGGTGTTTATTAGCCACTGTAGATTACTAGCTTTAAATTGAAGTAGATTTCTCTTCGCTTCGATGTGCTTACGCCAGGCTTACTTCTATCCAGATGAACACCAAAGTATGTTACTTCGGTGGTTTGTGGAATGTTGATATTGTTCAGACATAATGGAGGGCAAGTTTGTCTGTTTAACGTGAAGGTGACATGCTTGCACTTTTGCTCATTTACATGTATCCGCCAGTCTGCTAGCCATTTTTCTAAGGCCACGAGATGAGATGATAAGTTATCCGTGGCCCTTCTTGGGCACTTGGAGCGACTTAATATGGCAGTATCATCAGCAAATGTCGAAGTTGTGGTTAGGCTGTTTGTCGGTAGATCTGCTGTGAATATGATATACAGCGTCAGTCCAAGTACGCTGCCTTGCGGTACACCAGCTTCAATTGGATGATATTCAGAGAGGAAATCTTTGCATCGTACTGCGAAACTTCTTTGCTGTAGGTATGACTCCAATATTCCATGGATGTTCTGTGGAAGTAATATTTTGATTTTGTGGATTAAGCCATCTAACCAAACGCGGTCGAAAGCCTGGGCGACATCCAGAAAAACAGCGGAGCAATACTCCCGTCTTTCAAATGCATTTCGTATCTCAGAGGTTATACGGTTTACTTGTTCAATGGTTCCGTGTTTTTCGCGAAATCCAAATTGGAGAGTCGGGATGGCACCGTTTATGTTACAAATGTTACAAATTCTATTTCGGAAATGCAGAAGCGTGGTGGGCAGTATACTGCGGCTAGGTTTAGGTAGCCGCTCTGAATTTCAATATGAATTGCTGTTGCCTGTAGATAAGGTGTAGCAAATGAAGGCAATGGATAATGCCTAATGCGATTCTTGATCAGAACGCCAGTACCTCCATGTGCCTTACCATCGGGATGATTTGTCGCATAGAAGTTATAGCCATCGAGGTGAAATTAGTTTTTATTTGTTAGGTGAGTCTCTGATATAAGCATGGCGTCAATGTCGTGTTGAGCGAGGAACTGTAAGAGCTCGCATTTGTGCTGCGAAATGCCATTTGCATTCCAGAAACATATATTCAGACAGGCCATTTAAAAAGATTTCTGTTTGATTAGGAGCTCAAGGAGAAGATTTTGGTTGCGCATAAGCTCCTGCATCGTTTGTTGTATTGCTACCATTGTGTTTGTTATAGTTACCAGCATTGATTCAATTCCACTAGGCAATTGGGATGTATTAGCAGGGGTATGTTGGGCAGAGATTTCTGGGATCTGATTTGATGCCTGATGTTGCATTATTCCAGCTGTGGTTGGTTGAAGTGTCGGCTTAGAGACTGAGGCGTACGACCCGTTGTTGTAACTTAACGCCTGAGCAAAAGAAACTCATGAAGTCGTAGTTGATGGTATATATGTTAAGTTTTATCGGACGACCGGGTTTCGAGCTGCAGTTATTTGTTGGTTTAGGCGGTTTTTCAATTCTTTATAGACAGGACAACCTCTATAGTTGGCAGTATGGTTTCCCCCACAGTTGCTACATTTTTTGGCAGATGGGTCCTCCTTATTTACGGGGCAGGCCTCAGTGAGATGAACATCACCACAGGCAACGCAGACTGCCCGTAGAGTGCAATAGGTTTTCGTGTGTCCATATTCCTGGTAATTTGTGCATTGGACAGGTCCATTTCGTTTGTGTGGTTCCTCAACGGTGATCCTACGGTGCAGTAGATATTGAAGCTTGTATATTGGGTGAACTTCATTTTTACTTATATGCATACTTTCAGATGTCAGTTCTACTTTGAACATTCGCTGGGGAATTTTATTTACATTTATTATGTTCATAGCCATTTTGACTTCAAAGCCCTTATCGTTAAGTCCATTTATTATCTCATTGATTGGGACTGTTGGTTCGATTCCTTTGATAACCACTTGTAATCCTTTGCTACTTTTTATGTTGGTAGGTGTAGTAATTCATTTTTTCATTTTCGAGGTATTTCGCAACTGATCGATAGTTTTGTTCGTCATTGACTTGTATTTTTATTTCATTTATGTTACCCCTTCTTATGGACGTGACATAGAATGTGTTTGCGCCAATTGTATCAGTTTTTTTTTTTTACCAGTTCAGCACAATTTGCCTGTCGAACATAAATAGGTGGCGGTCTTAATTTGTTGGCCTTGTGTGTTTAGGTGATCTCATCTTCATTTGGGACACTTAGTATCGCAAATCTATTGTTTGCTAGTGCCTTATGTGTCACAGTGTTCTCGGTTTTTTTTAGTTATTTTAGCTGCCTTGTTGTTCTTCACATTTTGTGGGCTCAATTTTCTTTTGATTTGCACATAGCGATCGAGCCCAGTCTGAATTAACGCTCCATTAGCATTTTTTGAACTTATTGGCTGGGAGAGTTGGGGCTTGTCGCAGTGGATCGACAGTATCGGGCGCTGAGCAATTGCAGTGGTTGTTGTTGTGGTTGTTGTGGTCGAAGACACAGTTTTGAGCGAGGGCATTGTACTAGTTGTTGTCGATATTATCAAATCGCTGGTTAGGCAGTACGAGTCGGGGGATGGGCACTGAGCACTCCATGACCCACTTTGCAATGCAGGGGAGGGAGAGCGTGCTCTCTCCTCGTTCACTTGCAGTGATGCAGTTTTTGTTGGTACTGCTGCCTTTGGCGAGCGTATAGAGAAGTACGCGTTGTTTTTTGCTTGCGAGAGCCGACGCTCGTCTTGTTGTTGTTGCCGGGCTTGGCTCATTTTGGCTTTGGTTGCAGTGCTTGTGCTCTTTACCGAGCTGGTGCTCTTAAACGTTGACATTTGTTCTTTTCTATTATTTCTATTAATCTTTATTACTCGATTGGATGGTATTCATGGGCAGCACGATCACTAGTACCCATGCCTACCCCAAGCGCTTTTTCGCGAATTAATTTATGATTAATCGCGATTAATTGATTTAATTGATTTTCACCGCGGAGCGATACAAAAATACGTCTGTAGTCGTTGACGGTTGACGGTGCAGTTCTAGCAATCATTTTTAGTGCTAAGCTTTCTTGGCCATCCTGCGCGATGATACATCTCCACCCGCTTCTTATTCCCCTCTTTTTTTTCCTCTCATTTGTCCGTTGGCTGTGGCTTCAGGTCTCCTCTATGCGCCGTTCGCGTTCGTTTGTCGCCCTCCTTCTTTAACTTCACTATCACGGTCGATTCTGACACCCCCAAATTCATGGCCAACATCAACTCAGTCCATTTCTCGTCCTAACATTTCTGATTCCCCTCGGTATATTGCGCTATCATGGTCTTCACCGTATGATTCATGCGTTCGGTCGGGTTCTCTTACGGGATATATAGCGCTGTGAATTGGTGGCGGACTCCCATTCCCTCGATGAATCATTTGAAAGCCCGACTTGTGAATTGGACCCCGTTGTCCGTTATCACCACCTTAGGCACCCCGAACCGCGATATGATGCGCCCTCGGAACGCCTTTGTGAGTGCTTCGGCCGTGGCCTTCCTCATTGGAACTAGTTCGGTCCATTTGGAGAAACGGTCTACGAGTACCAGTAGCATCGAATTCCTGTGTTTAGACCTCGGCAAGGGTCCCACGAAGTCGGTACACACCATCGCCCACGGCTCCTCTGGGATTTGGGTCAGCATCCTCCCTGCCGCCTGTAACTGGCTAGGCTTGAAGCGCAAACATAAGTCGCACTTCCGCACGTACTCTCTTACGTCCCTATGCATCCCCGGCCAGTAATACCTGGCCGCTATCCGCAACGCAGTCCTTCTTCCTCCAGCGTGGCCTGCTTCCGGGTCATCGTGATTCTCCTTCAGCACCCTTTCCCTGCCCTCTCGTGGCACACATAACTTCCATGAAGGCACTTCCTCGTGTTCTGCTCGATGGGAAATATGTCGGTATAGGCCTCCCGCCTTTTCCACATAGTCCGGGAACTTTAGGGGTTCCTTTTTAAGGCGTTCCCTCGGCCGGTCATCCATTTGCAGGGTGTTCGTTTCGCCTTATCATCGCCCTCTTCCTCTTCCTCATTCGAAGGCACCATTCCGTCACTGGCTGCCTGGAAAGTGCGTCCGCGACCACGTTGAGCTGCCCTTTCCTGTATGCCACTTCTGGCCACCCTCCATGCCGGACTTTCTATGCAGTTCAGCCATTTCAGATCCGTGACCACCTTGAAGCGGTATCCTTCTAGGTATGGTTTCAGCCGCCTGACAGCCCATACTAAGGCCAGACATTTTTTCTCGGTCGCTGAGTAATTTCTCTCAGCACCATTCAGCGACCTGCTGGCATATGATATCACCCGTTCTCCCCGTTCTGTCTCCAGCGTCAGAATCGCTCCTAGTCCATAATCGCTGGCATCCGTTCGTAGAACAAACTTCTGTGAGAAATCTAGACACGCCAACACGGGGTCCGCCACCAGTCGACCCTTCACGGCCTCGAATTCCTCTTGGCGTTCCTGGTTCCACTCCCAGGATACCTTCTTCTTCAGCAATGCCGTGAGTGGTTGCACCAACGTTGCAAAGTCGGGCACGAACCGCCGATACCATGACGCCACCCCCAGATATTGGCGCAGTTCCTTCACTCCCTCGCCCGTCACCTTATGGCTTTCCTTCCGAAAGAATTGGCACTTATCCGCATTCAGCCGTAGATTCGCCTTCCGTAGCCGTCGGAAGACCTCTTCCATATTCTTACGGTGCTCCTCTTCTGTCCGCCCGATGACGATGATATCATCCTGATACGCAAACGCGTGTAGCATCATTTCCGGTCCGATTACCTGGTCCAATGTCCTTTGGAATGCAGCCGACGCCGAGTGCAGACCGAAAAGCATTACCTTCCATTGGTACAACCCCTTCTTAGGCACGGTGAAGGCAGTGATCTGCCGGCTCTTTTCTTCCAGAGGAATTAGCCAATATCCGTCCTTCAGATCCAAACTGCTGATGAAACGGGCCTTCCGCAGCTAATCTAGGATATAGTCGATCCTCGGCATCGGGTACGCATCCTTCACAGACTTGGTATTCACCTGTCGAAAGTCGACACACAGCCTCCATCGGCACGTCTTTTTCTTCACCATGATTATGGGCGAACTGTAGGGACTCTTTGACGGCTCTATGCATCCCAACTCTAACAATTCATCCACTTTCCGGTTAATCTCTGCTTGCATCTTGGGGTTCTTCGGAGAGTACCTCTGTTTGACCGGCTGTGCATCACTCATGGTGATTGTGTGCGTTGCCACGTTGGATACTCCCTTCAGCTTGGCGAACTCCTTCAATTTCCGGGCGGGGAAAGTCTCTACCGACTCTTCCCTTGGCGCTTCGTCTGGCCGAGCTCCAGTGAGGGTCAGGACCGCGGCCTCTGCCTGGGTCCCACCGCCGACGCTGCCGGTTCCGTAGCCATGTTCGAGGTCTCCACTATCGCCACTGACAGTCTCTCTTCCTTTCCTTCTCGACTCTGATCTCTGACGGGGATCACCACACTGTGCTCCGCACAGGTCACCACCGCCCCGACCGATCTAAGGAAATCTCACCCTAGAACCATAAACTTTACGATTCCTGCTAGATCTACTAGAAACTTTATTCCTTGGTGCCTTCCGCTTTGTAGATCGAATTATTCCTTGCACGAACCATTTAGGGTCCTATGCTCGGACTTCAATTCCCTCTACCATATAATATCCACTACTAATTCCCTTCCTCTTCTTAAATCACTAGAACCTCGATCACGCCCGGCAATATTAGCACCTTCAACGCCACTTCCTGGTTCCCGAACGCCATCTGCACCTCGAGTTGTCTTGTTATTATACCCGTACTCAAAAAAGAGTTAAGGGGTATATTAGATTTGTGGTAAAAGTGGATGTGTGCAACGCAGAGAAGGAAACGTTTCCGACCCCATAAAGTATATATATTCTTGATCAGCAGCAATAGCCGAGTTGATATAGCCATGTCTGTCTGTCTGTCCGTCTTGTTAAGCGCCTAGATCTCAGAGACTATAAGAGATAGGGCAACCAAATTTGGTTTCCACACTCAAGTGATATCACACTGCTACAAGTGTATTTCAAAATTTCGCCCCGCCCCCTTCCGCCCCCACAAAGGACGAAAATCTGTGGCAGGCACATTTTTAAAGATACGCTAAAATTAAAAACGCAGTATCGTAGAGAATGACCATATCTACCAGACTGCCGAATCTGAATCAGATCGGATTATAATTATAGCCAGAACGAAGAAATTAATTTTCAGTTGCTTCCCCTTCCCCCTCCTTCCGACGACAACGCAACTCAGTTTCCCTCTCGCTCGCACACTCTGTCGCGTTCAGTGCGTTAGCAACCCCTAGCGGAGGAGATGTAGAATCTAAATGGTACATGTTTAATCTACATGTTAGATGTAGAATATACATAATATATGTAGATGTAGATAACAGATGTAGCAAAAAAAATGTAAAATGTAATTTTTTTTTTTTAATTTTAAAATTCTAAAAAATTATATGCTCAAAAATGTATATACTGACTGAGTACGGGTATAAGTAGAGTCGCGTCCCCAGAAGCGACTCGCACGTTCCTTCTCGTTTTTTGACTATGGCCGTCGGCCTCTACCTCGTAGCTATCTCTCTCCTGGCCCCTCCCAACCTGTCCGTCAATTCGCAACTGCTGAAGCTGCTAGTGGATCCTGTAGCCTGCAGCTCTCTTCCCGCGATCGTCACCACTGCGGAGAGCTGAATTTCCTCATTCGTGAGCCTTCCAACTAGGTCGTGGGGGCGGTCTCCTGCGACCCCAGCACGGTCCTTCTCGGCTTGGGTCGCGGGGCGTTTCCCGTCTTCTTGCAACAATCCCATGTTGACTTTCCGACCATCCCGCATCTCCAGCAATATTTGAGAGGCCGAGCACTGAATTCTCGCGACCAATGCTCTCCGCTTCCGCACCGCCCACATACCTGTGCCGGGTGTGTCACATAACCGTTCTGGATATGGCTTGTCGTTGTGGGCGTAGCCGATGGCTAGGTTTCTTTCCCCTTTTGTGTGGTCGATCCTTCCTTGCAGCGTCGGCATATCTCTACCTCCGCCGGCTTGTTGAACGGATGGCCGCCCGTGCTTTAGTTGTGGGGTTCTCTCGCTGGAAGTCCACGCGATCACTCTCCAACGCTTCGAGCGTCTGCCAACGCCATCATCGCATCCAAATCCCGGTACTATGCGGCCGCATGTATGCCCTAAATCTAGCATGCTGTTCTCCTTTTTCAGCTCCGTTTGTTCTTCCTGGGGGCATTTTAAGGGTCGCATGAGCGTCTGCATTTCCACCATATACTCCTTAAACGGCTCTCCCTATGTTTCGTCATGTCATCGTCGTAGTCAATGTTTAATGTTGAGATTATTTTGAATTGTTTGAAGTCTAGTGTAAGTAGGTTAGGGCAAGGGCGGGAGCGTAATAAAAGCTCGCTCTTTCGCTCAAGGCGAATTCGCCCCGCTTTGCCACCGTAGGTTAGCTAGGCTTAGAACGAAATGTATGAAGTTTTTAGAATATAATCGTAAAATTTGAATTCGTTCGGACGCACACAAAATATTTCGTCCCTGCTCTTTTAATAAACTTTACGCCCCCCACAGTCTTTCGGTTTTCGTTGTTAGAAAAACTATTCTAATTTTTCATGGTGCCCCCGGGTGGACGATAAAGAACAAATTAAAAGGCAACAAATAATAGTGACAGTGACACAGTGATAGCACAAATAGTGTAACAAAAATACATATACAGACAGTTATAAATAATATAACTAATTAATTCTCTATTATAGAATAAAAAGTGTATTGTATCGTTGCCCGCGTCGTTTTGTGTATCCAATAACAAAAGACTTTCCAAAACCATCGTGTCGGCCGCGCAATACCCTCACCGCCTGTTGCTGATCGTGGCTGCTACCCTGCCGCCATACCTGCTGCTTCACCGTTGCTGCTACCCTGCCTATACTTGCTGTTTCACCGCCATATCTGCTGCTTCCCAAACAGACCCCGTAGCTGCAACCTAGAAGACCTATGGCCCCTTGTGATTGCACGGACTGCAAGAGGAAAGTGGCAGCTGGACTTAAAGATCCGAACGCAGAGCCTGAGGTATTTGTGCAAAAAATTGAAAGCTAGAGCCGAAGACATACATAAACACATATATAAATTGTCTTGTGCTGGAAAAATTGCACCTCGCTTTCAATTCTTGGCACAGCCGTATGATATAGTAGAGTTTGATTTGCATGCATTTAATTTATTAGTGCACATACATATGTATATATATAACACCATATAACACATATGTACAAAAACCATACCATACTCTATTTGAACCGCTATTTGGACGCACAATTATATATATATCGTTTACCGCAATCACTGTCGCCCCCTCTTTCCCCTTTCGTTGATTGATATTCGCCAAAAAGTTGGTTCGTTAACCCAAGCCGCGGTGTATAACACTTACTTCCATACACATATACACACATACAAACAGCTGCACCGGTGCATTATTTTCATTTCTCGCTTTCTCGTTGTGTGAAATTCGCCAAAAAAGTTGGTTCGTTAACCCAAGCCGCGGTGTATAACACTTACTTCCACACCTACATACATACATTGTAACGAACCATGGTTCTACCCATGGCTCGTTGCAAACAACTCTACACATTCTTGTCCACACAACAATTTAAAACACCCCACCTCTTGGGACATTTCGCAATCGACGGCCTACATAAGAAATATTATTGGCGTTATTTCACAATAAGTCAAGCTAGCATAAAATTATCGACCTACCGGCCCAAATTCAGCAAGCACCCTCCTCCAGGCCGAGTTCGCAAAACCTCATTTCGAAACCCAATTCCCAACTGCAGCCTCAGTTAAAAACACTCTCATTGTTAAGACCTTAAGTAAAAGTCTAGACATTTGCGAGTTGAGTTGTAAATTCAAACTAAATTTTATTCTTAAAATCAGAGCCTTATATCAGTTTACAAACAATGTATGTGGTACAATTGATATTCTATTCTTATCGCTAGACCCATGGAACGGCTACAGTTACCGTGGGGGTTGTTTGATTGCATGCAACGCATTGCATACAACATTAATGCTTAGCTCTACATTTGATCAGTGGGATCTCCACTTGTGTGTTGCTTGTCGCGTATTTATTACCACACATCTTTGCCCTTTCTTTCAAACGGTCGTAAATTATCGAATTTATGTACTACTACATTTAAATTTAGAAATATATAGATTGTGTACAAAATCTTTTCTTAATGTACTCGTACATCGACATGTTCATGTTTGAACATTCTGCAAAGGCCCGAAGGTGGCAAGGTTTGGTAGAGTAATTATACCCGTACTCAAAAAAGAGTTAAGGGGTATATTAGATTTGTGGTAAAAGTGGATGTGTGCAACGCAGAGAAGGAAACGTTTCCGACCCCATAAAGTATATATATTCTTGATCAGCATCAATAGCGGAGTCGATAGAGCCATGTCCGTCTGTCCGTCCGTCCGTCCGTCTGTCCGTCTGTCCGTCTCGATGAGCGCCTGGATCTCAGAGACTATAAGAGCTAGAGAAACCAAATTTGGTTTCCAGGCTCATGTGATATCACACTGCTACAAGTGTATTTCAAAATTTCGCCCCGCCCCCTTCCGCCCCCACAAAGGACGAAAATCTGGGGCAGGCACAATTTTAAAGATACGATAAAATTAAAAACGCAGTATCATAGAAAACTACCATATCTACCAGATTGCCGAATCTGAATCAGATCGGATCATAATTATAGCCCGAATGAAGAAATTAATTTTCTGTTGGTTCCCTCTCCTTCTCCAGCGCTGCTGACGCTACTGATTCTCTTTCTCGCTCGCACACTCTGCCGCGTTCAGTGCGCGAGCAACCCCTAGCGGAGGAGATGTAGAATATATACATATAAATGGTACATGTACAATCTACATGTTAGATGTGGAATATACATTGTAGATGTAGATAGCAGATGTAGCAAAAAAATGTAAAATGTAAAATTTTTTTTTTTTTAATTCAAAAAAATTATAAGTCAAAAAATGTATATACAGACTGAGTACGGGTATAAGTAGAGTCGCGTCCCCAGAAGCGACTCGCACGTTCCTTCTCGTTTTTTTTTTGTGGCCGGCCCCTTTTTTTTTTTCTATCTCTCTCCTGGCCCCTCCCAACCTGTCCGTCAATTCGCAACTGCTGAAGCTGCTAGTGGATCCTGTAGCCTGCAGCTCTCTTCCCGCGATCGTCACCACTGCGGAGAGCTGAATTTCCTCATTCGTGAGCCTTCCAACTAGGTCGTGGGGGCGGTCTCCTGCGACCCCAGCACGGTCCTTCTCGGCTTGGGTCGCGGGGCGTTTCCCGTCTTCTTGCAACAATCCCATGTTGACTTTCCGACCATCCCGCATCTCCAGCAATATTTGAGAGGCCGAGCACTGAATTCTCGCGACCAATGCTCTCCGCTTCCGCACCGCCCACATACCTGTGCCGGGTGTGTCACATAACCGTTCTGGATATGGCTTGTCGTTGTGGGCGTAGCCGATGGCTAGGTTTCTTTCCCCTTTTGTGTGGTCGATCCTTCCTTGCAGCGTCGGCATATCTCTACCTCCGCCGGCTTGTTGAACGGATGGCCGCCCGTGCTTTAGTTGTGGGGTTCTCTCGCTGGAAGTCCACGCGATCACTCTCCAACGCTTCGAGCGTCTGCCAACGCCATCATCGCATCCAAATCCCGGTACTATGCGGCCGCATGTATGCCCTAAATCTAGCATGCTGTTCTCCTTTTTCAGCTCCGTTTGTTCTTCCTGGGGGCATTTTAAGGGTCGCATGAGCGTCTGCATTTCCACCATATACTCCTTAAACGGCTCTCCCTATGTTTCGTCATGTCATCGTCGTAGTCAATGTTTAATGTTGAGATTATTTTGAATTGTTTGAAGTCTAGTGTAAGTAGGTTAGGGCAAGGCGGGAGCGTAATAAAAGCTCGCTCTTTCGCTCAAGGCGAATTCGCCCCGCTTTGCCACCGTAGGTTAGCTAGGCTTAGAACGAAATGTATGAAGTTTTTAGAATATAATCGTAAAATTTGAATTCGATCGGACGCACACAAAATATTTCGTCCCTGCTCTTTTAATAAACTTTACGCCCCCCACAGTCTTTCGGTTTTCGTTGTTAGAAAAACTATTCTAATTTTTCATGGTGCCCCCGGGTGGACGATAAAGAACAAATTAAAAGGCAACAAATAATAGTGACAGTGACACAGTGATAGCACAAATAGTGTAACAAAAATACATATACAGACAGTTATAAATAATATAACTAATTAATTCTCTATTATAGAATAAAAAGTGTATTGTATCGTTGCCCGCGTCGTTTTGTGTATCCAATAACAAAAGACTTTCCAAAACCATCGTGTCGGCCGCGCAATACCCTCACCGCCTGTTGCTGATCGTGGCTGCTACCCTGCCGCCATACCTGCTGCTTCACCGTTGCTGCTACCCTGCCTATACTTGCTGTTTCACCGCCATATCTGCTGCTTCCCAAACAGACCCCGTAGCTGCAACCTAGAAGACCTATGGCCCCTTGTGATTGCACGGACTGCAAGAGGAAAGTGGCAGCTGGACTTAAAGATCCGAACGCAGAGCCTGAGGTATTTGTGCAAAAAATTGAAAGCTAGAGCCGAAGACATACATAAACACATATATAAATTGTCTTGTGCTGGAAAAATTGCACCTCGCTTTCAATTCTTGGCACAGCCGTATGATATAGTAGAGTTTGATTTGCATGCATTTAATTTATTAGTGCACATACATATATACATATATAACACCATATAACACATATGTACAAAAACCATACCATACTCTATTTGAACCGCAATTTGGACGCACAATTATATATATACCGTTTACCGCAATCACTGTCGCCCCCTCTTTCCCCTTTCGTTGATTGATATTCGCCAAAAAGTTGGTTCGTTAACCCAAGCCGCGGTGTATAACACTTACTTCCATACACATATACACACATACAAACAGCTGCACCGGTGCATTATTTTCATTTCTCGCTTTCTCGTTGTGTGAAATTCGCCAAAAAAGTTGGTTCGTTAACCCAAGCCGCGGTGTATAACACTTACTTCCACACCTACATACATACATTGTAACGAACCATGGTTCTACCCATGGCTCGTTGCAAACAACTCTACACATTCTTGTCCACACAACAATTTAAAACACCCCACCTCTTGGGACATTTCGCAATCGACGGCCTACATAAGAAATATCATTTGCGTTATTTCACAATAAGTCAAGCTAGCATAAAATTATCGACCTACCGGCCCAAATTCAGCAAGCACCCTCCTCCAGGCCGAGTTCGCAAAACCTCATTTCGAAACCCAATTCCCAACTGCAGCCTCAGTTAAAAACACTCTCATTGTTAAGACCTTAAGTAAAAGTCTAGACATTTGCGAGTTGAGTTGTAAATTCAAACTAAATTTTATTCTTAAAATCAGAGCCTTATATCAGTTTACAAACAATGTATGTGGTACAATTGATATTCTATTCTTATCGCTAGACCCATGGAACGGCTACAGTTACCGTGGGGGTTGTTTGAGTGCATGCAACGCATTGCATACAACATTAATGCTTAGCTCTACATTTGATCAGTGGGATCTCCACTTGTGTGTTGCTTGTCGCGTATTTATTACCACACATCTTTGCCCTTTCTTTCAAACGGTCGTAAATTATCGAATTTATGTACTACTACATTTAAATTTAGAAATATATAGATTGTGTACAAAATCTTTTCTTAATGTACTCGTACATCGACATGTTCATGTTTGAACATTCTGCAAAGGCCCGAAGGTGGCAAGGTTTGGTAGAGTAATTATACCCGTACTCAAAAAAGAGTTAAGGGGTATATTAGATTTGTGGTAAAAGTGGATGTGTGCAACGCAGAGAAGGAAACGTTTCCGACCCCATAAAGTATATATATTCTTGATCAGCATCAATAGCGGAGTCGATAGAGCCATGTCCGTCTGTCCGTCCGTCCGTCCGTCTGTCCGTCTCGATGAGCGCCTGGATCTCAGAGACTATAAGAGCTAGAGAAACCAAATTTGGTTTCCAGGCTCATGTGATATCACACTGCTACAAGTGTATTTCAAAATTTCGCCCCGCCCCCTTCCGCCCCCACAAAGGACGAAAATCTGCGGCAGGCACAATTTTAAAGATACGATAAAATTAAAAACGCAGTATCATAGAAAACTACCATATCTACCAGATTGCCGAATCTGAATCAGATCGGATCATAATTATAGCCCGAATGAAGAAATTAATTTTCTGTTGGTTCCCTCTCCTTCTCCAGCGCTGCTGACGCTACTGATTCTCTTTCTCGCTCGCACACTCTGCCGCGTTCAGTGCGCGAGCAACCCCTAGCGGAGGAGATGTAGAATATATACATATAAATGGTACATGTACAATCTACATGTTAGATGTGGAATATACATTGTAGATGTAGATAGCAGATGTAGCAAAAAAATGTAAAATGTAAAAATTTTTTTTTTTTTTAATTCAAAAAAATTATAAGTCAAAAAATGTATATACAGACTGAGTACGGGTATAAGTAGAGTCGCGACTCACACGTTCCTTCTCTTTTTATTTTACCTTCTTGTATTTATTAGAATCATAATTACTGATGATAATTTTAGATAATTTACAGTGGGTAGGGAAGAGCTATTGATTGCAGTCTTCTTGCTACTTTAATTCTTCTTATGGTATTGTAACGAACCATGGATCCCATGGTTCGTCACAAGCAGATGACGCAGCCAACGCTACTCCCAGGTGAAGCGATCAACACCCAGCAAAAATGCAAACTCAGCACACGCCAAAAGACAGGAGACCAGCAGAAGGGGCTTACGCAATAAGTACCTAAAATAATATTAAATAAATAAATATTCCTAACAATATATATTCCCGAAGTGCCAACGAAATTCCTTTCCCACGGTACCGGTGCACACCGATCACCTTACCTGGGACATTGGACACTTCTTGGGAGGCGATTGCTTAGGTAACCCTCGATTACCGGGCAAAACCCCCACATGCGCAAGCCAGTCAGCAGTCTCGGACTCTCCTTACCGGGGATATTGGACACTGACTGCAGGGCTAATGATTAGGTAACCTTCTGTTACCGATCAGCCTGTCTGCACGCGCAGACTATAATTCGGCAATATATATTTATGTAAGAACCATTCCCACATTCTGGAGTAGAAATAAGATATCTGTAAGACATTCATGGGAAAATCGAAGGCCGGCCGATCTATAAAAGGCACTGCCTTGCATGAAGAAAAGGGCAGTCCACCAGCCATCGTCTTAGGCAGTCCACCAGCCATCGTCGGAGGCAGTCAATCAGCCATCGTGGGAGTCAGTCAAAATCACCATCCGCGTCGTAGTACAAGTAAACCTAACATAACCGGGTAGAATAATCATACGGAAGAATACGGAAGAATAAAGAAAACCATTAAAAATTAAAAGAACCAAACAGTGTTGTGATTTCTATTTCAGTTTCTGGCAAAGTTCCTGGTTTCCCGATAAAGTCCTCGTGAATTATAAATGTCTTGTAATTCAGGACCCTGGACAGACTGATGCATACCTCAGCCTGAAATAGGACATTACAAGTGGCGCCCGAGCAGGGACTTTAAAGGATTTTTCGTGGAAACTTCAAGAAAACCGAAATCAGGGACTTCGTGGAGTAAAGACCCACTGCCATCAAAAAGGAAATTGAATCGATAACAAGTCCGCGCACTTACATAATCCGGGCGCGAAAACAAACGCGAAAGTATACGCAGTGCCGATCCTAAAAGTGCCGTTTAACAGTGACTCAGTGCCAAAAATCAACAGAAATCAACATGGAACATCACGACGATGAACAACCAGAGGAGGTATACCTGCGGGACACTTTACCAATCCAGGGGTCAGCACCGGTTGGATCCACAAGCTCCGTCGGGACGAACTAGAAGTCCTCGCCGAAGAATTCGGATTCGGCAGCGAAGGAACGGTCGATGAACGCCGAAGGAAATTTGCCGCTCTAGTCGCCGGGCCACTCGCGCAAGAAGCCTGGGTCCGCCTAGGAGAGTTCGAGAGGCACTATGCCAAGCCAGCCTCACGCTCTCGTTCCAAGTCACCACGGCCCACTACTCCTGGACCATCCGACACGCTCCAAATGGATCCTAAGACTGGACTACGAGTCCCCGCAGCCACCGAATACCGCACTCCTGCTGCCCCGTTTCCAAGGCCCCTAGCTACAGAGACCCACCCAGCACCCGTGCCAAGGATCTTGCAAGCGATCGACCGACCCATGGAAGGGCACCACTACAACCACGCTGCACCAATGGCGGAACGCATCCGAAAGTGGGGAATCCAGTTTGACGGCCAAGATGACCCTCTATCATTCATCGAACTGCTCGAAGAACGCGCGCTCTCGTATGGGGTGGACACAAACCATCTGCCGCGGGCCATGGCCGAACTTCTCACAGACCGTGACAGTCGTTGGTTCCGCACCAGCCGCCTACAAAGTTCCTCATGGGAAAATTTCCGCCAGGAATTCTTAACGTTCTTCTTGCCACCACGGTATTTTGAACAATTGGAAGACCGGATCCGAGCCCGAAAGCAATTGGCTGGGGAACTGTTCAAAGATTTCCTCATCGAGATACGTCTACTTATGCACCACGCTGGGTACGACGCAACCAAGGAGCTAACCAGGATCTACGACAACGCCCTCCCAGCCTACCAGATGTACGTGCGCCGCCACGAACTGCAGGACTTGTCACAGCTAACACTGCTGGCCACAGAGTTTGAGAGTATTCAAGAGCGGACCATCACGAGCACTCTCGCACCACCACGACACACGCCCAGATACGCACGGTCTACTACAGATCAGAGGAGCGACGATTCCAATCGGACACCATTCCGGAAGCCTCATTGGAACTCGGCAGACTCACCAAGAAGACAGCCATCCAACCCAGTGAGTACGGCAAAGCCCGAGGTAGCACATCGCATGATTACAACCCCCATCGCCAACCCACGCGCAGCCTGTCGCCGGTGTGGTGAAGCAGGGCATGCGGCATATGAATGCCAAAATCCCTCGATCCTGTTCTGTTGGGAATGTGGCAAGCGCGGCACCCGGACCATCGATTGCTGTCGCCAGAACACGTCGGGAAACGACTCGCGTCCTCGACTGACACGGGATCAGCCGGGAACGACGTCTGCCCCGACCCACGAATAAAAACCCCGCTACACATGAACGAGAACCGGATAGTGGCAATGGTAACCATAGGAGGACAGGCAACGGAAGCCACCGTCGACACAGGGGCATCCCGAAGCTTTATCAGTGCAAACCTCGCCCGACAACTAGACAACAACACCAACCTAAAAGATGCATGCGTCCGCATACGCCTGGCCGACGGCTCGGTCAGAGAGATCACCCAGATTCTACTGGCGCACATCAGACTGGATCAAAGAGAAGTTCAAATACCCCTCCTGGTCCTACCAAACATGTTGGATCAAGTTATTGGCATGGACTTCCTATGCGCCATTGAAACAACGATC